CAGGTGGTTATGAGCCACCCAACGTAGGTGATGAAAACTGAATCTGGGTCCCTTGGAATAGCAGCAAGTGCTCTTAACTGCTGAGTCACCTCCCAGCTCTCACCACGTCCTCTCTAAAAAAAAAAAAAAAAAAAAGATACATTTATTATGTATTCAGTGTTTTGTAGACGGTTGTAAGCCACCATGTGGTTGCTGGGAATTGAACCCAGGACCTCTGGAAGAGCAGCCAGTGCTCTTATCCTCTGAACCATCTCTCCAGCCTCCACCACATCCCTCTTTTTTAAAAATGTGTGTATATGTATTTGTGAGGGTACACACGTGTGTTTGTGTGGAGGCCAGAGGACTCCTGGTGTCATGCTCAAATATACCATCTTCTTTGACACTGGCCTGGACCTCCCTGCGAGGTTGGACTGGCTGCTCAGGGAGCCCCAGGCTCCACTGGTCTCTGGCTCCCCAGCACCGAGAATTCAGGTGCAGTTTCTTATGTGAGTTCTGGGCATTGCACTCAGGTTCTCGTGGTTAGGAGGCGGGCATATTATCAACCAAGCCATCTCCCCCAGCCCTTGCTGGATTGTTCTATTTGAGGCAGGTTTTCACGTGTAGACAAGATAACCTTGACTCGGCTGTCTCTAAAGCGGTCCTGGGAATTGCCTTGACGTGGCACGAGAACCTCAACCCGTAGCAGCGCTCTCTGCAGGCTCCTACACTGCAGTCCTGTTGGAATACACTGGGGAACCTCACAAAGGGGCAAAGCAGGGTCACCCCAACTGAATCACGCAAGTCAGGGAACTGGACATCCCCCATAATGTGAGTAGCTGCATGAGTCTCAGTGGGACAGAGGGGGAGGTTGGGGGGGGGTCATTTATTTATTTATTTATTTTTAGAACAGCTCCAATAACAACCTCGAAAAGCCAGACTTCAGAGAACAATGAGGAAAAGGAGCGGAGCCAAATATAAAAAGCCTGGCACATGCAAAAATAATAATAAAAAAATCAATTCACTCTCACGGATTACAAGTGGAGAGTCCCGGGGGGCGGGAGGATCCTGGAGAGGAAAAGAGATTATATTTTATGAGGAAGGATACAATAACCATTCTCTTCCCATAAAGCCAGTGATGGAAGATTGTCTCTGCGCCACAGATCCACACTGCACATTGTCAGGATAATCCTAACAGGAAATCAATAGCATCTTTTCTATGTGAAAAGACATTATCTCTGCAGACCCAGGCCGGCTAACTGGGCTACGCAGGATCTTCACAAAAACTTGTCAGACAACACTAATCTGGATCCTCGGACAGGGAGCAGCAGCCCTCATGCCCAAATCTTGGTTTATTTTGAAGTTGTCCTTACACCTGTTTAAAGAGGCACAGTCATTACAGCCACAGAACCCCCCAGGTGACTCTGCATGACCAAGTCTCCTTGGTCAGCCAGACGCTCTCTAAAGCCTTCCTTATGTCTGTGCTGGGTGACGGCCATGACACCAGCCACCAGAAGCTTTGTCGTGGCATCCTGTGACAGTGAAGACAGTCTCAGCGGAATTTATGGAATCTCCTGTTTGGGGTTTTTTGGTGGGTTTTTTTTTTTTTTTTTTTTGGCTCTCATTGATCTGAAACAGAACCCAAGTTAATATTAGCAAAAGCCACTTTGTGCTGGGGTCATTTTCCTACAAGTGGCGGCTTTAAGCAATGTACTCTATGAGATTTCTAGCTGACTCGGGGCAGGAGGAAGCCTTGGCAGGTCAAAGACACCACATCCTAGCATCTCCTCCCTTCTGGGCTCTACCCACCCTCTTGGTAGAGCGTCTTATTTTCACACAAAACTAACTTGACTGTCACAAAGCATCCAGCTCATTAGTGTGAAGTTTGGATTTAGCAATTGGCTGTGCCCTTGTATCAGCCTTCTTGGGAAGCCACAAAAAAAAAAATGCAAGAAACTTGGAAGCTCAAACCCCAATTTCTTAAACCGTGCACCCTGATCCTCCACGAAGTACCATAACTGACTATAGAAAAACAAAAAAACAAACTTGGCAACAGCAAAGATTTTCTGAACAGCCAGTAGCCAAAAAAAGTGAATTCTGATTCAAACACAACGAGCCTGGGGCGTTTCCGACAGTGCTTGCCCGCATTCGAACTCCACTGTAACCTTGATTCTATCACGCAACACTCACACCACCCGAAGCCCAAGGACGCTGCCTGCGTCCCCCTCAGCTCAGACTCTGCACCACCATGCCGCTGTGAGCAGTGGCATTTCCACTGCGCGTGCAAAAGTTTCCACCCATGTACGAAGAGAACAGTCTAATTGTGGAGGTCAAGGGTTTTCAGTATTTCCTGCTGTGTGCCTCAGCACAAAAGCACCAAGTTCGTATGTCTGTGGAGCAGACTATGACAGAGAACTTGATTTGATTTTTAAGTTTCTGTCTGAGTTGCTGACTTAAATTCCATAAAAAAAGAAATGTTCAATGGATTTTGGTTTGGGGTTAGGGTGGCATTTTCAACCGTTTCTGAAATGACCCCAAACATGCTCTTGTCATTTTGTGCTGTATACGTATGCAAATCACGGCTCTCAGCATTGATAGCTACAAAATTAAAGCATCAATAGCTCTGGAACACACTGAAGACATGCTGCACCCTGTGGTGTCGAAATGCCAGCCAAGGCTTCTGCACATGAAAATAAATAATCTCAACCATATCATTAGTGCACAGATCTGCTTTTGTCTTTAATAAATGGTAAAATTATATGTATACCAAAGAATTATTTTCCAACAAGTGTCTTGAGGACTGGAGAGTTGGCTGGCTCCGCAGTTAAGAACATCTGCTGCTCTTGAGGAGGACCCCGGGTTGGTTCCCAGCACCTACAGAGTGGCCCACAACTCCAAGTCCAGGGAATCTGATGCCTTCCTTGGTCTCCACATGCACCAGGCATGCAGAGGGTTCATAGACATATATGTAGGCAAAACATTCATGCATATTAGATAGATAGATTCAAAATAAATGTCTTTATGATCTATATCCATAAATGTTTGGTTTACATACCTATTTTACATGCCCAGGGTCATATACAAACTTTCCACGTGCCTGCTGAATGCTCAACCCCAATGGGGCCTTCACATCACCCCCTCCAAGGCTCAAGGAGCACCATGCAGAAGAGGACTTGGGAGAAATGTAAGAATTTGGTAAGAATTCGAGGATTGTGTTGAGTGTCGTCGACCACTGTCTTCCAGGTCTAGTATGGCCTTTGCATGCTTGAACTGTCAACATTGTTATTACAGTTTGCATAAGATGGGGTCTGTTGGGTCAGCAAGATGGCTGAGTGTGCTTAGATACTTGTTAGCAATCCTGGCAACCTGCGTTTTGATCCTTGGGACTCACATGGTAGAGATGATAGATAGATAGATAGATAGATAGATAGATAGATAGATAGATAGATAGATGATAGGTAAGTAGGTAGATAGATGGATCGATTGATGGATAGATCAACGGATGATAGATAGGTGATAGATAGGTAGATAGATAGATAGTAGATAGATGGTAGACAGACAGACAGATGGATCTAATTTCTTTAAAAAGATTGGGCCTATCAATAGTCTGTCATTAAAAAGGAAGGGACTCACAAGGCCCCACCCTTCCCTGAAGATCTATAGGCAACTAAAGGTTACTGGGAGAGAGACAGACATTCTCTTTAGTAAGGTAGCCACTGGTAAGGTGCCCATATTCCTGAAAATAACCCCTCATCCATGCTACTGTAAGTAAACCCAATTAAACTCAATGGGGGAGAGAGAGAGAGAGAGAGAGAGAGAGAGAGAGAGAGAGAGAAGAATATACCTGGGGAATCAATGGAAGAGAACAAGAGAGGGTGGAGGGCCAAATATGATCAAAACACATTATGTACATACATGGAAATGTCAAAATGAAATCCAATATTGTACATGATCAGTATATGCTAACTAAAACCTTTTTTTGGCTTTTTTTTTTCAAGACAGGGTTTCTCTGTGTAACAGCCCTGGTTGTCCTGGGACTCATCTGTAGAACAGGATAGCCTTGAACTCACAGATATCTGCCTGCCTCTGCCTCCCTAGTGCTGAGATTAAAGACGTGTGCCACCACCATCCGACTGGTAATAGAAACTTATTTAAAGTTTCCTTGGGTGGAAAGGAGTCATGAGGGGAGAAGCCTAAGGGTTAGGGTTAAGGGCTAGGGTTAAGAGTTAGGGTTAAGGTTAAGGGTTAGGGTTAAGGCTAGAGTTAAGGGTTAGGGTCAGGGTTAGGTTTAAGGGTTACGGTTAAGGATTAGGGTTAGGATTTAGGTTAGGGTTAGTGTTGGCTTAAGCAATGAAAGAGGTTAGGGGTAGGGTTAAGGTTAAGGGTTAAGGGTTAGGGGTTAGGGTTTGGCTTAAGCAATGAAAACTGCTTCCCTCCTGATTCTTCAGCCTTAAAATTCTATTCTAGGTGTTAGCAGATATGTACTCTCTGTGACTCTATAGGACGGGTCTTCTTGCGTCTTAACTCCTGGTTTTTGCCTGGTGTCTCTTGGCCTCCAGTTGGGTGACTCTGACACACAGCCAGCCTCTTCCTTTGTGTCTTCTCCTCATCTTCTGTCTATGCGTGTCTGTGTCCAAGCTGTCCACTTTGTAAGGACACCATTTGGTTTGAACTAGGGCACACTCTAATGACCTCATTTTAACTTAATTACTTAAAAGGTCCTAGTTTCTAACATTCTCAGGCACTGGGTGTTAGGATTTCCTTCAAGATATGAATTTGGGGGGGCTGGAGAGATGGCTCAGAGGTTAAGAGCATTGCCTGCTCTTCCAAAGGTCCTGAGTTCAATTCCCAGCAACCACATGGTGGCTCACAACCACCTGTAATGGGGTCTGGTGCCCTCTTCTGGTCTGCAGGCATACACACAGACAGAATATTGTATACATAATAAATAAATAAATAAATATTTAAAAAAAGATATGAATTTGGGGAGACCCAGCTTGACCTAGAAGAAGCCAGACCTGCTCTGAAGAAACTTGCATTTTATTAAGTGAGATGAAATAACTCCAAACATGATTAGACGATATCAGGATTTCTAGACTGCAATGTAGTTGCCATTTTGTCTATATAATTTCTTATGGTGGACGTTCTGTACATTATATTGGGCTCTGGAAAAGGACTTCTGGTCTCTACCCACCACATGCCCATAGGCCAGTAGCCCATGTTGTTCTCTCATAGGGATCTCAAATATCTCCAGATATTGCCAGATGTCCTCTTAGGGAGCAAAAACCACACACGCATGTGTGCGCATGCGCACGCGCACACACACACACACACACACACACACACATACACACTGGTAAAGGAAACCTGTACTCAGTGAAACATTCTGGAATGCAGGCCACATCTCTCAACACTGCAGAAAGGCTGAAGGCCTAGAAAAGGCCAAGGTGATCCGAGCCATGGCCCCTGCTCCATCTCTCTGTGTCTGTACCCATGCATCAATTCAAGAAGCCTCGCCAAGTGCCAAGTATGCGTCAGGGCTGGTCTGGAGCTGTAGGAAAAGCACAGGACAGAGGAGAGGCTTTAAAGAGCTGCCTTGAATATGTAGAACAATAAGCTGTGATAGGTGTGAATGAGAGGAAAGCAGAGCAAGTGAGAAGGACGTGAAGTGTGAGGAGGGGGCAGGGTCGGCCTGTCCAGCTTGTGGCCTAGAAAGGACTCAGAAGGAACAGGCCTACAAAACAACTGCTGGGAAGAGTCTTGTAAGGAGTGGAACCTCCAGACAAAGGCAGAGACATCGCTGGTATGCCTGAAGAGCTGGAGGCATGGCCTGAACCGAGGACAGAAGGAATCGGGGACGTAGGCATTGAAGTAGCGGTGGGAAGGACACGGGGGTCTTCTTTGGCTTGTATTCCAGACGCCAACAGCAGCTTCGTGTTTACATCTACACATTCCACGCTTCCTATATATCCACACCAGAGTGACATTCAGTGTTTAAGCCTGGAGAGATGGCGCAGCAGTTAACAGCACTTACTATTCTTGCGGAGGACCCAGGTTCAGCTTGCTGCGCCCATGGTAGACAGCTCACAACCACCCGTGACTCCAGGTCCAGGGATGAAGAGCCTCTCCTGGCTTCCAGGAATCTAATGCATGTGTGCAAATACACACACTCAGGCACACACACATAAAACTAAAAAGTCAATGTTTTTAAAAGCTTAATTTGTAAACTAGACAATGAGACAATGTCTCAAGAAGGAATGGGGAAGCAAAGGAGACCAGAGAATGAAACTTGGTTGGTAGAGTGTTTACCAAACTTGTACAGAGCCCTGGTTTTGTATCCCCAGCACCATATATATTGGGTGTGGTGTACATTTGTGATTCCTGCACTTGGGGAATGAGACGTGAGTATCAGAAGTTCGGTCATTCTATACTACCAAGCAAGTTAGAGGCCAGACTGGGATACATAAAACTCTGTCTCAGGGAAAAAAAAATGTAAAACCGGTGGTGCACACCTTTAATCCTAGCACTCAGGAGGCAGAGACAGGAGGATCTCTATGAGTTTGAGGCCAGCCTGGTCTACAGAGCAAGTTCTAAGACAGGCTCCAAAACCTGGAAACCCTGTCTTGAAAAACCAAAAAGAAAGGAAAAAGATTAGGAACTTAGGGGCTGATGAAATGACTAAGAAAGTAAAGGAGCTTGCTGCTAAGACCAACGACTTGAGTTCAATCCCCAGAACCCACACAGTGAAAGAAGAGGACTGACGCCCCCTGGCTACCCACAAACACAGTGGCACGTGTGCACGCACGCACACACACACACACACACACACACAAATAAATGTAATAAAAAATTTAATTGAGCACAGTAAACTATTAATCACAAGTAATTATAAATAAAAAATTACAGTAATACACTGCTATAAAATAGTGTGAATATGGTTTTTCTCAAATTCCTTGTAGTGTCCCCAGCTTTCTTCTCGCGGTGACCCGAGAGCTATAGGATGAAGTGTGAGCCGCAATGAAACCTCCCGTGGTGGTAATAGCAACTGACACTCACACAGCCGTTCTAGACAATTTGTTAGGACAGGGTAGGGTGTGCATGTGTTCATGCGTGTGCACATATGTGCAGAGGTCAGTATGGAGTTCTCCACTCTTCATCATCCTTTGTTTAAGGCATATGAGTATTTTTCCTGCACATATGAATGTGCACCACATGCGTGCTTGTTGCCCTCAGAAGCCAAAAAGCAGAATCAGATCCCGAGGTTGGAATTATGGATGATAACTGTGAGCCACCATGTAGGTGTTAGGAATTGAACCTGAGTCCTGTGCAACACAGATGGTGCCCTTAGCTGCTGAGCCATCTCTCCAGGCCCTAAGAACACCTTATTCAATATTTTTTGAGAGGTCTCACTGAACCTGGAGCTTCCAGATGTGGCTAATCTGGCTGGCCACCTCCCCAGGGCTGGAGTCGTGAGGTTGCATCCTTGCAGTTTATTGTGTGGGTGCTGGGGTCAGATCTCAGGTCCTCATGTTCTGCAGTCTCACACTTTGCTAACAGCTATCTTCTCAGGCCCAACAACCTTTTTTTTTTTTTTTAGACAAAAATCTCACCATGTTCCCATGTCGCCCTGGTTATCCTGAAAGTTTCTGTATAAACCAGGCTGGCCTCCAGCTCACAGACCCACTTCCTCTGCCTCCCAGGTGCAGAGAGTGAAGGTGTATCACTATGCCTGACATAACCAGAAGGGCCCTCCCAGCAATTTTTAGGTCTACAATTCTATGGCATTTAGTACATTCCCACTGCTGTCGCCATCCATCTCCAGGACCTGGGTGTCCGTCCCAGGGCTTTTCAACACTGGTGTCTGTAGCAGAGCTGGGGATAAGATGGCCTAAAATTTGTGTTACTGAATGCCCTCCTTTTCCCTGAGAGAATTCAGATTATGCCTGTTATGATGGTACGATTAATTGTGGCTCTTCTCACTCTGAAAGAAGTCCCGGTTGATGCAACAAAATGGTCACCCCACCTTCAGCTCACTTTCTCTAAAGTAAAAATTGCCAGGAGGCATCTCTTACTCTTTTTCAATGTGTGTGTGTGCACACGCACACGCATCATAGGTATGAACGCAGACACACCCCAACCCTATCTACACCTGCCACAGCTGGTTGGCCCATGAGCTGCAGGGGACTCCTCACATCTCATACAAACACTAGAATTAATGACACACTGCCACCTTAGCTCTTTTGTGAACTCTAGGAATTAACACTCAGGTCCCCATGACAGTTAATTAAGTGCATTTACCCCTGAACCACCTTGCCAGCCCCCAGTAGCATTTCTTTAGAGTACAGACCTTTGATGACTGTGGAGCCAGGGGGTGGAGTGTGGTGGTTTGGATTAGAAGGGCCCCCAGAGGCTCATAGATTTGAATGCTTTGTCGTCAGGGAGTGGCACCCCTTGAGAGGAATTAGGAGGTGTGGCTTTGTTGCAGGAAGTGTGTCAGTGAGGCTGGGCTTTGGGTTTTCAAAAGTCTAAGTCTCTCTTGCTGCCTCCAGATGCAGTTGCAGGGCTCTCAGCTACTTCTCTAGCACAGTATCTACTTGTGTGCCGCCATGTCCTGCCAGGATAACAGAATAAACCTCAGGGCTGGAGAGATGGCTCAGAGGCTAAGGGCAGTGGCTGTTCTTCCAGAGGTCCTGAGTTCAGTTCCCAGCAACCACATGGTGGCTCACAACCATCCATAATGAGATCTGGTGCCCTCTTTCATGCAGGCAAAACACTATATACATAATAAATAAATTTTAAAAATATAGACTATTTTTAGTCCAGATATAGATGAAACCTCAGAAATTGTAAGCCAGCCCCAATTAAATGCTTTCCTTATAAGAGCTGCTACGGTCATGGTGTCTCTTCACAGCAACAGAACACTAAAACGGTGATCCACCTCTACCTGCGCTCCTCTGCCTCAGTTCGGATCCTAGAACTGTCCCCCAAGGCCTCATGTAGTAATGCTCGGTTCCGAGGTGGTGGTGCTGTTTGGGGAAGGTCTGGGGGTCCATGCGGGCTTGCTGAAGGGCATATGTTGCCGCAGGCAGGGTTTGAGAGCTGAAGGCTTGCCTACTCCTAACTTAATCTCTGCTTCATGTTTTAGGTTTGACGATGTGGGCTCTCAGCCTTTGGTTCCAGCCACCATGCCGCTGCCCTGCCGTCATGGACTCTTCCTCCTCTGATGCCGAAGCCAACTTAAACGCTGTCTTCCTTAAGCTGCCTTGGTCAGGGTGTTGTGTCACAGCAACAGGGCGGTAACCACGGCAAAGACTGACCAGAGTCTGCCTCTGCGACGACCAGAGGCCTGCGCCAGAGACGACCGGCAGGAGGAGATGTCCACTTCCGGTTGCGAGTGTGCACAAAAGCTCAGGGTCCCCTTTCCTCTTCTGATGTGTGAAAGAAATGACACGTCTAGATTGGTAAAAAAAAAAAAAAAAC